TAGGGAAAGGCATTGAGAAGCCGGAAAATTGAAGTTAAAAGGGCCTATGATCTGCATCCATAAAAGGTATTCCTTTAAGAAGTTGACATTAATCATGGACTTTCACAGTATGCACGCACACTGTGAATTTTTTTGTCACAAGAAATCATGAAGGCCAACGAGAGAGATTTATGTGAGTAAAAAATGTCCTGAGCTATCATAACTTACTAACAGTTTTACAATTGTTCATATAACATAATGCTTCAGGAATAAATCCGATTTTCTGTTCATTAAATATAAGGATCAAATGTAACCGCAGTACAGTAATATAACAGATCTCAGAGGGCCAGGAGAGAGGGGGCTCCTCACTTCAGACCTGAATAAGTGGAGTAAATTTGTATCCTCCTCAAAGTCTTAATTCAAACATGCTTCCCTTAGCACAGATTTGAAGACTTCAGGCACTGCCGGAAAGTCGTTAAGTCCTGTTTATACAAAGAACTGTTGGAGGGAAGTTCCTTGAACACGACAGTATACATTCAGGAAGCCTTGTCTGACTTTTGAGTAATTATTGATTTGTAATTCACTGCAACGTTCATGACTTCCTGTCATTTACCTTAACCAACTGCAGCATGGTGTGCCACAATTTTTCCTCAGTTCTGCAAAATTGTATTTTTCCATTATGTGATCTGTTGATTTTTTTTAATCTAATTTGCTTTCTTTTATGCTTTGATCTAGTATTTCCACAACTCTACTTCCACATGCTGCGGCAGAGAAGAAGGGTGCTTCATGGAGAAGTGATTGTGGAAAAGGACGATTGAATCAAGCCGTGTAACTATGGTGCTTTTAAAGGAAAAAAAAAAGGGGTAAAAACCCAAAACTTCCTGTGATTTTTCTGAGTCCAAGTTTAAAACATGGAACAAGAATAAACAACTGTGCATAAAACAGCATGGACTGTATTATTTTACAATTAATATATCTTCAGACTTACCTTTTCATCCTTGGTTTCGCTTTGATTTTTAATTGTTAATTTCTTCAGACAAATTAGTTTCTTATTTTCAGTAGGTTGACAAATAGCTTTACGAATTGAAGTAGTCGGCTGCTGTGCTTTCTATTCTGAACGTTCTGTTGTAGTCTGTGTAGTCATCATCAAGAGCAGAAGGAGAGGTGATAAGTTGTACTGAAAGTGAGTCTTCTGGAAAACAGAGCATAAATTAGGTAATGATGTTTTTCATAGACTAGGTGGCTTAAATGTTATCTGAGCTTTATATTAAATAATACCTTTCCAATTATAAGTACTGTTAGCATGTTGTTCAACATTCTTTGAATTACAGGATCACATTATAGAATTCCAGAGTGACTTTTGAAAGGAGGTGAATTCTTGACTGTCAGTGCCAATTTAGATGTCTCTGTATTTTCATTTGTAATTTTAAAGATAAGTAGATATAAATAAAACGATATAGATGTAAATTAACTGGTTAAAAGATTGTGCTGAGGAGTAGACTTAATGTGCCTACCTTTCTCTGATCAGTGGCTGGAATGGAACTTATTTGCAGAGTAGGACTGATTGTCAGCATGTTTCCTGTTCTACGTTTAATTACGTATGCAGAAAAATTATGGTATTGCATTTAGAAACTGTAGCTGTAGTGAGATATTTAACTTCTTATAAATAGCTAAGTGGGATAAAATATATTTGAAATAGTGTCTTAAAATATAAATTGTGCCTTGAGTCGTCCAATTGTGCAATTTTAATTGCTCCCTCCCCATTAATTGTTTATACTATATTGACCTAGTTCTATTTAATGTCTTCAATAATCCGCAAGAGGGATCTACAGTATATTAATAAAAGTTACAGATTATATTACACTATATGGTACCTGAGTGGGAGAGGTCCAACAGATGGATGAAATGTAGACAAGAATTAGATGCAGCCTTAGAGATTCAGAGGAAAGGTAATGTATTTGAAGAAACTTGGATACTTAGTGAGAGAGAGAGAAGATTGAAATATAATAATGTAGTAAGAAGCCTTGATAATGTAGGCAACAAAGTTGCTTCTGGCATCACTGATGTCAAAAGAATAGTATATATGCAGAAGAACTGCACCAGGCACGTGGAAATCAGAATACTCGTGATTGCTGAGGGCGTTTCTGGAGTACGGTCTTACATTTTGGGTACCTCAGGGATGAGGGTTTGAGTCAATCTGCTTAAAAGTCAGAGAACACCAACAAAATTAGTTGAAGTGATAAAGAAGTCGGAAAGATTGGGTCATTAAGTATGTATAATTTGTTATGTGACAAATACATGGAAGAGGCTTTCTAAGTATGAAGGTGTAATTAGAACTGATTATAGAAAATTGAAACAAGGTGAATATCCAATGAATATTAGGAGAAGGATCATACCAATAAGAGCAGTTATGTTATGGAATGACGCAGTAGTGCTTATCGATGCATACAATTTCTTGGAAGGTTTTAAGTTAGATGTAATGCAATATTGGAAAATAATCTTCCTTTGGCTAGAGTTTGAACTACATACTTGAATAGGCAGCTTCCATTTTTAGCTTCAACAATTCTATGATAATACAGCTTTTTTTAAAATTGTCGACACAGCTTTTTCTGGTATATCAGGTGATTTGATGAAAACGCAAGGTTTTACTACACCCCTAACTTTCAAATTCCATTTTGTGCCTTAAATTTGTGATATTTATGCATGTCTTCATTACATGTAAATTAGTTTCCTTTTAAATGACAGGTGCATAGTGGACTTGAGATAGAATAGTTGTATTTCTTACAATTTTGAAAGGTGTAATCTTTGTATTTTTAGAAGAAATTTCATGCAAGGTGCTACAATTTAACATTACTTCTCTGTTTTATTATGCAGCTAAAATTATTAAAAGTTTAAAATATAAACTACATTTACAATACTGAATCACAATAGTTGTTACACTTGTTCAGACTAGCAGTTGTGTTTGTCCAGAGTTCTTGGAGTACTGTTTTATAAACTTCACTTGCTTTTTGATCCATGAGGAACATCATGGCAGTTTTTAGAAATATTTCTCAGCAAGCAGAAGAGTGTGATGAAATACGAGTAGCTAAGATGAAGTTCTGTGTCTCTTTTCTTACGGTCAGGGCAGCTCACTGAAGACCATAGCTATCAATTCATTGAAAATGCATTGGATACTTTAAGGATTTTGAAATCCTTGATCAGTTGAGTGTATCCCACAGACACTGTTCCTGTAATAAAAGGAATACCTGCACTGTTAGACTGTATTATATTTGTTTTCATTGTGGCTTAAGCATATTATCATATGCCAATCAAGGAGCTATTTTTATATCCTTTTGTACATGTGACAGGAGAAAAATATAGCACTGTTTGCTAAAATCTTGGGTTTGCACTTTCGTAAAGCAGCAGTGTACAAGGTAATGGTATAATTTTAAAAATGTTTTACCGCTACAGAAGAGTCTTGCTAAATGATAAATGAATAAAAATAAAGGTAGAAATTACTTACAGTATTGCATTCGATGTTTGTTAGAACAGAGAGATTGCCATGTAGAGTAGTTCACATGGCAAGTACTTTAAAAAAAACAAGCAACATGTTTTCCTCTTCCTCTTCTTTTTTGATGGAAGCCTTTCACTGAAGCCTCAATGTATACCTTTTGTGTTAATACCTTCTCAAAGACAGTGAGAATGGCAGGTAAAATCCTCTTACCATTGACTTCAGATGGGCCAGGGCTTTATCCTAGGTAGCTTACTTAAACTTCAATATAACATCATGAAACATTGAATTAGCCTGTTAAATGGATGTAAAAAGTTAAGTATGATTTTCATATGGTGCTCTCTTTTCAACTTCTTTTTGACACCTGTCTTTTTGTCTTCCTCTCTGTGATATTCCTAATTTTCTAAAGCATTGAAATTCTTCTGTTTATGAAAGATTAGAAATGTATTCACTGTTTATGAAAGATTAGAAATGTATTCAAACATCAGCATCTTTAATGTTTTGATGTAGTCTCTAACAAATTGTTCGTATAAAGGTGTTTTCTTACTTGTGCTATATATGCCTTCTGGAATGGATTAATATAGAGTGTGACCTTATGAAGCTTTTTTAATGACAATGCATAGGACTAGGCATTTGGAAGGAGATTCCTTTTCATCAGATGACGTTTCCTATCAGTGGTAGTAACATAAGCACCCCGTCCTTTTTATAAACACTGGCTGAAAGCAGTTGGATTCCTTGAGGTTCTCCCCAAAACCCACACACTGTTCCCACTGGGAAAGACTGTTCTGGGACGGGTTGGGTGAATCGCCTCATTTCACAGCTCTGCCCAGAACATCTAGAGGCCGGATCCTGGCCTCAGGGCACGGGCAGTACAAAGGAATATGATGCTGAGAAATTGCATCTTCCTCATCAGCTGCCAAGAGGGTCACTGAGGCCATTGTGAATAGTAGTTGACAGGCGTCATTTCTCTCGCCTCTCACTACGTGGGATGTGAGAAGAGAGGAAGCTCAACATGCTCCCATGCCTTCTGCCTAAAGAGCTCAGAGGTCAGCTGCGAGGATTTCTGCGCACGAAGGGTGGGTTACAGAAAGGGCTTTTCTGCTCCACTCAGCTATCTTATTACCATCTATAAGCCTGTATTTCTTGAAATACTGGTAAGCCAAGATAGCTGTGCCATTCTGCTGTTGGTAGTATAGTTCCAAATGAACAGGTACAGAGTAATGGTGCAGTGTGCTGCTTCTCCTAATTCCCATTGAACATAACATTTAGCCAGCTTCATGTTTATGGACAGATTGCAATGACTGCTGAACAGGGAGGTGCATGGAGACCTTTTCTGTGACCAGAGGGAACCTAGCTTTTCTTTTCCAGAAATAAGTGTGTGAATTTTAAATCTAGGTCTAGCTACTGCTCTGACTGTGGTACTTGCACTCTTCACAGTAGCTTACTTTTGTGGATATTTATATGACTACTAAATAAACTAGAATGAAAACAAATTACAACTATTAAAAAATATAATTTAAGGTAGTCGCTACATTAATAGTTTTTGTGAATTCAGCTCTTACTTACTTAATTTGCCTTAGAAAAAATAAAGGAAGGAAAATTAATATAAGTAAGTGTCCTGCACTAGGCAGGAGGGCTTCATAAATCACAATTTTCAGGCAGGCAAACTGGCTGCAGTTGTTTATCAAGGATTGGTTAAATGTGATTTTCAAAAAAAAGGTTGAAAGTTTTTCTGAAAATTAAATTTTATTTCTTAATGTGTATTTTAAAATGTGCTCAGATGTACCATATTATTTATTACTAGTTTACAATTTCAATTCATGCTCAACATACACATTTTATAGATGATTAACTGTAGCATTTTAAAATGTTTTATTATAAGTTTGTTACAATGACTGTTTAAGAAACAAACACCTCATCTTTATGCAAAGCTCTGTGTTCCCTTGCTCAAGTCAGTTGTAGTATTGTTAGTGCCTACTAAGCTTTACCAGGCTATTACAGTGGCAGGTTAATCCTTGCCATGGAGAGCTCCTTAACCTTGCTTTCGTGACAGCACACCTTAACAGTGGGTAGTACTCTTGGTTCA